GGTGTTTTGGGGGAAATTCTTTGGCAGGATCAGGGCCTTAAAAAGTTCATTAAAAATGAACCAAACCCACTCACTGTTTTTTGAGGCAGCAGACCAAGCCAAGGCGGCAGCTTAGGCTACAGATATAGAAGCCACAGCTGCTCTCAAAGCCTTGACTACCTTCACTACATTGTCTATGTCACATAAAGATGTTAATTGGGGTAAAGATACCCTCTGCTAGACATGGCATCCTAATGTAGACACACCATAGCCGTACTCCAGCTTGTTTCACTCGAGCAGAAGGCATCTTTACTCTGCTGGTCCAAAGCACAGCTTGGCTGGTGGACAGCCATGTCCACACTGGGAGCTTTTTGTCAGTAACTACATCAAGTTTCCCATGCCAGGAAAAACCTCCTGCTGCAGGGCTAGCTCAGGTTGGACAGTTGCTTCTTTGTTCGTGTTTTTGCCTCAAGTGCAGAGATGAGATGACTCAATAAAATGTTCACTATGTACTCTGTGTGTGGGAAGCAACTGGAGTCCATCAGACTGGAGGCACCAGGACAGGTCATCCAGGTAAAATAGCTCTGCTGCGCCTTTATTTGTTTGCCAGAAAAAAAAAAAAAAAAGCTGTGCGTCTTGCCTTTCTCCAGCTTCCCCAGGAGGGAAGGAGCTGAGCTGAAAGGCCTGATTGTGGCAGAGCCGGGGTGGCAGGCAGGTGCAAGGCCCTCCATGAATATTGTGGGGTGAAGGAGGGAGAGGATGGGCAGAAATGAGGTCCAGACAATGTAGGTCTATGGTGTGCATCCTATTCTTTGTCATGCACGCACATTGCCTTGTGCAGATCTAACACAGCCTAAAAACCTACCCACAGCCTTGGGTGATGTCTTCTCTCTTCTAAAACCCAGCTCAAAGAGTTGAGCTACTCTTTGCCCTTGTGCCTAGACCCAGATGGATGCCAACCAGCACAGTACTCTTGTAGATACCATGCTGTATCGTGCAGGATTCCCCAAAACCTTGGCAAAATTGAGCTAGGCCTTAGGTACTACAAGAATAAACAATAAAAAAGCAAAAGGAATTAAGGCCATGGTGCTTAATTTGCAATGATTTGCATTGCCACTCATGTTGTGCTAGCAGAGAACATTAAACAGCTCATACACATTCCCACAACTGTATAACACATAGCACAGCCAGAAGTGGGGTTGTGTGTTTTCTGAAAAGTATTAGCCTTTAGGAAAATCACCTTATATCATGTACCTTGACTTGGCTACCTACAGACTGCATTAGACTGCTGCTATATATACCACATTATCCTGGTGCAAGAGAATTAAGCAAAATGTAGCTAACAAAGAGATTTAAAAGGAAGTTGATGTAACCTTTTTCATCATTTATTTTGAAAAAAAGGGAAGGAAAGAAGGAAGAAGCTTAATACTTGGAGCATACCATATATGTCTAACTTCTCCAAGGCACACAGGATGAGAGATGTAAAAAGTTTGTAATGAGGTTTCATACAATGAATCAGATGAAAGACAGTGATCTAGCTAGTGTCACTCGAGAAATATCTCAGCTGATGCTGTTAGTTTCTGAACTGCTGAAAGCATTTTACTTTATGTTAAAGCCTGGCAGTGCAAACATAGCCAAGTGCTGCACATAAGCCGAGGAGCAGGCAACTATAAGCTAGAAGGGAGGTAAATGTTCAAATACTCTGATTAGCAGCCTAATCTGATTATGTCTTTCAACAGAAACCCAGAAAGGAAGGACAAAACACGGAAGACTGGTAGCTGAGGAAAACGAGGATAATTCACCTTGTGTGAGACAACAGAGACACACACAAGAAAATACTTTATGTAAAGATCAGGTTTTAAAGAGGAACTGTAAAGCTGATCCAAAGGCCCTGGAAAGCAATAGAAGGTCTTCTGTTGACTTCAATGGGTTTTGGATCAGCTCTGGAAATGGAGGGGAAAGGGCCTGGGGCTGGCACGGAGAGGCAGGCTGTGGGGAGACTGGAATGCAGCTGCAAAGAGACAGAGGAAGCAAACAGGAGCACAGGGCTGGAAGGCAGATGCAAAAGCCACATGGTTTTGTTTGTATGTCAGAGAAAAATAACCTGCAAGCTGGCTTGGGTTGCAGCTCTGGGAAAAGAAAATGGAGGAAGGTGGAAGGCAGGTTACTGTTTGAGCTGAAGCAATAGGCCCATGGTTGGTCTGGTGACAGCTGAGTGCGAAATACCACATTCTTTCCCTGAAAGCCTTCCCAGGAGGAACAGGATGTGGACACTGCTCTGTAGTAAGAAGCAGAGCTACTGAGCTGTTCGCTGAAGCTCTCCCAGGGTTAGATGGGGCAAAAGCAGAACAGAAGAAATGGAGATACGTGGAAGAACCGAGTTAACATCTCTCAACTTCTTGACCCTGGCTGTAGGAGTTGCATGGGTGTTCCTTACTGCCGTGGCTGAGCTTGTATCCACTGAAGCGCAGGGGAAACACATACCTGCATTGTTTACACACGCCTGAAAATTCCTCTTAGGTGCATTAACATGTTTGCACACCTAGTTCAAAGTGACCTAGATTTAGGACAAGGCAGTAGCACAGCTCAACCTAGTGCCCCAGTGTTTGCTATCTTTTTGCTTTTAATACAAGCTTTAATCTCACACAGGCAGGATTTGTATGACCCTTAGTATAGGGGGGAATTTCCCCCTTTTAATTAAGCAGATAGCACTTGGGTCAAAAAATACCAATTAAATTACACAGAACCCTGATGTTCTCTGCAACTGAAATGATCAACTTGTCAGGGGTATGTCCATACCATTAGTGAGGACACTTTATGAATTCCTTGCCTGAAGCACTCTTTCATAACCCAGGGTGGCGACATGGTTTGGCATGGTATGCCCTTTTCCTTAGAGCAAAATCAGCTCTGGCTCCTGGCTATAGTGCCCCAAGGAAGTTGCCACCAAAACATTTCTGTCCCAGGAGTGTCAGGTTGCGGTCACAATGGGGAGAGATAGGGAAGTCTACAAAAATGTCCTTTGTCAGAGCACAGTGCCAGCTAAAATTAATGCTGTTACACTAGCAGGGGAGAAAATATTAATATTGACCTGAATTATGACATTGTTGCTGCAGCTCATCAAAACTTCCAAGTTCCAGCCCTACAGCAGAGGAAAGGTTTGAGTCCTGTTACCAGAGCTGGCAAACAGATGTCCTTTTCCTCTCCCAGACCCTCTTCCTGCCACTAAACTCTTCCAGGAGCTCTCCAGCCCCTGTAGAAACCATTCAAACCCAATGTTATTTAGGAAAAACACAGTAAGCGCACATGCATATACACATCTTGGAGCAGGCTTGGAGGCCAGACAACGAGTCTGGTCTAAACTTACCCTTGTGAAGGATTATTTTACATTTCCACACCCCTTGTAAATAAGTCATGCAACTGCCAAAGCAGAGGCCATAGCCTTCAACAGAAGGCTATGAACAGAATAATAATAAATAATATAGAATATACAGAAAATATAGAAATAGAATAATAATATAAATAAAACACAAATGCTGAGGGAAGACCCAAGAGCAAGGTGGCAAGGAAAGCTACACATAGGATTTTTGTTGGTGCATGCAGCCCAACATCCCTCGGAGCAACTGAAGCCAGAACAATGCGTTTGGGGTGCGATGTTAGCACAGGGGATTATAGGACAGGTAATTCTGAATACAGCCTCAATAACCTGAATCTCTGCAAAGCAAATACAAAGAGTCATGAAGCTCTCCTGCTTCTAGTCAGCAGCATTTGACATCCATTTTAAAATCACTTTGCCTCTCTATAATGGCTAAACAAAATAAAGACAAAGATTCTCTTGTCTTAGAATCTAGTTTTACAATTCATCTGACAGTTCTACACCTTTATTGCAATTAGCAGTGGACATAAAATGTTATTAACTGTTCTTAGAGAAAGCTCAGAGTCTGCTTGTTGGAAGTTCCCAGTCTATCTGCAGAATGTCTGCAGATTTAGGAAGTGTTCTTATTCTAAGGGGAAAGTGGGCATTTACAATTTCAAAATTTAAAAAATCAGAACTTCTTAACACATACCTGAGACTTGAGACATACATTTTATTGCAAAACTATTTCTATTAGAAGTATGAACATTTTTTACCCGGTTAAGGCAGTAAAAATTGTCCTGTAGATTTACACTGAAATGATTATTTATTTATAAATGAATGTAATAAATGAATAATATATCTATTATTGTGTAATGGGTATCACTAATATATATTCATGCACTGCAGTATATAGCATGATCCATTCTAGTTCTATGTGCTCTGCAATACCTATTCTAAGCATATGAAAAGTTATTCTTCTATAAAGCAGCTCTATACTGATAGCTGTGGCCTTGAGAAGAGCACAGTACTATTATATTACAACTGGCTAAATTAATGCAATGAGTTTTTAGCATAGACATTTAGGATATTATTTGGCAGAAATCACCTTGATGGCTCACTTGTCTACAGGCCCTTTTATTTAGGTATCTGTCACATGAACCGATAGCAAACATTATTAATACGGATAGAAGGGGCAGAATAGGATGCACTTTGTGCTTATAACACAGCTATGACTCATGGACTTAGAATTACCTATACCGGTGCTCTAAACCCATCCCTTCCATACAGATTAAATGGTAATTGGCAGAAACTGAAACATCTGTATCACCAGCCCTGACCACCTGTTTTATCCCAGACCTCCTGCAAACTTCCCCATTCCTCCACCAGTGGTGCTTGCTTCTTGTCAGTATCAATTCCAGATTTTACACACACAGCTGAAAATTAGTGGCTGTTTCTATTTTAGCTTTTCACCAGCCAGACGAAAAAAAAAAAAAAAGACACTATGAGAACTTCAGTATCTCATTTTCCCCCCGATAAGCAGTTTTAGGGAACTTATTCCTAAGAGGTATTCAATACATCACAACTCGTGTGACATTAACTAACCAGCAGGAACTTCCGCTTGCTGTAACAGTCTGTGACTTGAAAATTGTGCAACACCTTTAGTAAACACTTCCTCATATAGGAACATGAACAAGCTGAGCAGCTCACTCCTTCTCATTCGCTGCTCAAGAGGACTGCTCAAAGCAGAGGGACTGGGAACCCAACTTTCCCAGCCCGAGGAGACCACATCCAGACAACTGCGACTGAGATGACAAACAAAGTTCTCATTTCTGTCCTTTTGCTATGTTTTCTCCAACAAGGTATGTCTATTTCTTTAAATGCTTTATCAGTGGTTACTATGGGTAATCTTAGATAACTTTTACATTTTTTTAATTATTAACATGAAGATGACACTGAAGAACAGTGAATTAAAGCCATTTAAGAAAAAGGTATTACTGAAGTTGGGGAGTTTGCTTTTTTTCTCTTTCAGTTCAAAGTGACTATTTAGTTAGAGAAATATTTACTTGTGTGAACACTCACCATACATTGGCTACAGACCCAGAACAGGTTAGTTTTGTGAGCCAATTAAGAATTTGCTTCCTCTGCAAGTGATTGGAGAATTTATCCAACTGGGGCAAAGGATTACACTGACAGCCTTTTGCCTATAAAAGAAAACACTTTTATCTGAGTTCAGTTAATGACATTACCTGAATTAAAACAGTTACCACCCTCACTATCTGTGGCATACTTCAAGCTGTGAGTAGAGAAGCTTAACCTAACAGACCACACCATATTTTTTTTCCCCATCTGCATTGTTTCATTCAATTCATGTCATCAGGGAACATTTTTTTTCAGACCTTGGCATGCACAAGCACGCACAGGTTTCGTACACATAATTACACATGTAATTTGTACTCAGGAGGTATCTTTTTGATTTTGTTATTTGCACAGAATATCTGAAAATGTGTACAGCACTAATGCTTAAAGCATTATATATTTAGTTCCTCGAAAAAAATCAAACCTTCATTATCAACGAAATCCTCACTAATGATATTTCTTCCTGGTTCAGGCTCTTGGAAAATTACTTAATTATTTGCTCATTATTAACATTTTTTTCTAGCCATTATAGAAAGCCGAAGGAATTTCTTTCCTCCTTAAAGCTACTGACTCAAGACAATGGCTGAAGCTAGCCAAAGGCAATACAGTGAGCTGATTAAAAAACGACCTCTAAGAAACTGTTTGTTCCAGAACAAAACTGTTTTCCTTGAAATGCGACTTGCACCCCTCTGCAGGAGAAACACCAGTTTAGTTTTGAGTCCTTATTTGATTCCAGCCTAGACTTGAATTATCTGGGCTGCAGTTGGTCCTGTAAAAGGGAGCAGGCAGATAAAACTGGAGCACAGAACTCAGCTCTTGAGAGGCCTAAAATATTACTTTGATCATTGCATGAGAACATGCTTTAAGATCATAGAAAGACCGAGCCTGCAAAGAAAAAGGTTCCCTTTTTTCAAGAAAAAAAAGTGCTGCTTAAACTAAAATATAAAGCCCTATTGTTATTTACAGTAATGGACTTGCATTTTTTACTCGTTAACAGCATGCACATGGATAGTTACTGTGTACTTTGTAATTGCTCTGCTGATCTAAGATAACTTAGGATTTATTACCATCATACCATCGTGCCCTTCTCTCTAGCACTCAACTTTATCTACATACAGCCACATTTATTCTGCTTTTTTTTTTTTTTTTGAAAGGGTTTAATCAAATAAACCAGTTCTGAAGAATTAATCTATCTATTTTACTGGAACAATGTGCATGAGGATGTACTCTGCTGTTGCAGAGATTAAGGATTATAGAAAATTGCAGTAATGGGATGCCCCACTCTTGTAAAAATCTGGCCTTGAGGCAGGCAATTAAAATGGGAGTTGCACTCTCTCTTTGTTGTTGTTGTTGTTTAACACAGTCTCTTGTGCTTGAGCCCTCAAGAATTTGTCTATTCAGGTGAAATTACCTTTTGTAGGAGATTTAGGAGTTTATGAAGCATACAGACCTCCCATTGACTTGTTGGAAACTAACACATCCATTGTAGGACCCTGTTCTCCCCAGTGCTGTACACCAGCTGCTGTCATTAACTTCAAATGCTGCAATGCGTGCTGACCACCCCTGCAAAGTGTGCCACAAATTAACTTCTGTCATTATTCACTCATGCTCAAAAGCAGAGAACAAAATGCAACACTGCTCATCAGCACTTTTTCTTCCATGTTCTTTATAGCCACTGCAGACAGCACACCTCACAAGCAAGACCAATAAAAATTGGTTATGTGAGCTGTGAGCTATTTAATCTGGATTCCTTACCACCCTCAAGATTTTCCCATTTTACTCGTCATCCCTTATTATTTCACCTGCCCTTGCTGAAATGCCTTCTCCAGTCCTTCTGCTGTCACTCAGTCTGATTCAATAGATAAGAGCAAGTCTATTGAAGAACTGTTGGGAAGTATTTATGTGAGAAGATTAGTTGAAAAGCTTTCTGAAGCAGAAATCTAGGCTTGTTCCAGACTTGTGGGGAACTGTATGAGTTTATTTGCTTCTATCGAGGCAGTCTTAACTTGTATGTCATTATGTGATAAATTTTGGAGGTTATTAATTTCACAGAACCATACAACTTAAGTTATGTCATTTGCAAAAGATGAAGGTTGCACCTTGCGTAGCTGATCTAGCGTGTTGGTACACGAAACTGCTGGTTGGTGTTGGGGAAAGAAATCCAGAGGGAATTGCACAGGATATTTTGACACCAAGAAATTGCCAGGTATGGCAACTCATCCAAAAGCCAGGCTGTACAAACGTTGTGGCTCACACTGTGGGGGGACTGCCTTGCAGAGCAGATGACCACACACTAAAACCAGAGCAGAGAATGCATGAGAAATGAGTGGCACAACAGATCGATGACTATACAGCCCCAGAGAAGCAGTCATGGCAGACATGAAACATAGTGTTTAGTAAGTTAATGCTGTGTGTTCATAAATATACATCTCTTTCTCCCTAGGAAGCACAAGCAAGATATTACCTGGAGTTGAGCAATATGAAATAGTTTATCCACGGAAATTGCACACAGTACATAAAAGAGATGTAGAAAGAAACAAAGAGGTATTAAAAGAGAGAACTACTCTTTTTTTTTTTTTTTTTTTTCTTTTTTCTTCTCTGGGAGATGGGGAAGGTTGAAGGTTTTCTGGAGTCAGAGCACTCTTGGCTTTCAGGGGTAAGAAAATGGTGAGCCAGACACTTAATCTTACAAAAGAAAAGGAAAAAGAAAACCTGGAAGAGTGATTCCATGTCTGGTAAAAACAGACTATGAGGTGGGCTCAGTGGGCGGCCAAGTACCTGCATGCAGTAAGTGCATCTTCTGTCCTTGTATCTCTGCACAGATGTAGGTTTTGATAGTACTCAGATTTTGAATAACCTGTGGGCATCCTGATTTGTAGTAAATTAAATCAAACGCTTAAAACTAAGCACATTCTTCCATATTTCAATAGAGTTATGAAAATGGTTGCATTTCAATATCCACTTCAGCACTTTACTGAATGTGCAAATATGTGCTTGTGATGGTAGAAATGCATTTGCAAAGTTAAGTTTGTTCCTCCAACTAAAAAGTATGAAACAAGGTGACCTCCTTCTTATTCTGTAACTGCCAGAGCACTTATTTTTGGTGGGAAGAGGAGGAAAAGAATGCAGCTGGCAACTCAGCAACTGCCAGCTCATGGTGAGGCCAGAAATTGTAACAGTCCATATTCTAACACTTAAATCTGTTTACAGAAAAAATACGATGACACATTGGAGTATGAAATCAAAGCCAATGGAGAGGAAGTCATACTGCACCTCGAAAAAAATAAGTATGTTCAGTTCAGCTCCTTCCTTGAACATTAATCCTCGCTGTAAGTGGTTTTGTAGGGCCTGCAGAATACAAAGAAACAGGACTTAGGCTCTTATAAGATGAAGGTATTATGGTTTATTATGGTGTCCAGTCCTAAGAGAGAAGAGGGAAGAGAAAGCATCATGTCGCTGTTTTGGTAATGAGAAATAACCACATAGGCATGCAAAATTACTATGACAGAATGACTTGCCTATACCGCTAACCCTACTCTCCTGTCTATTCCTTAAATGGCTAAATCCACTGAATGCTTAATATGGTCATATTATTTCACAAGATTTCTGTGTCTATGGGTAGTCTCAGGGTTGTATTTTTTTTTGTTGTTCTATACTGGTAGTAAATACAGAGAAGAACCAGAGAAACATCCATGAAAACAGGGCTGTTAGCTCTATAAATGCTTCAAAAATGGAAAAATATTAATAAGAAGTGCAGTATTCCTCAGAAAAGGCTTCCAGCATGCCCTACCTCAGCACTACGTCTATTGAACTTTGAGTAGTGTAATAAACACGGGCATCAACAAAATGCTTTATGGAAATTGAAAGCAAGGAGAGCTTGCCTGTTCTGCCAGAAAGATTAAGAGCATTTTAACAGGCCATGCAGAAGGTGCGGAGAAGCAGTGGGCTTTGAACAAAGCATACAAAGAAAAACCCCAAACTACAGAGCAAATGCAAAATAAAGCACGGTTGTGATTTTCTGCTTGCTGGCTCCACCATAATATTTGACATGGTATCAAAAAGGTCAGCTTTAGGAGGTTCTTTTCAAATGGCTGTGTAAATACAGCAATGCTATAATCAGCTCATGACAAATATTTATTATAATTCAATGTTTGCCCCTTTTTAAATCTAATCTGGGTATTTGAAAGGAGGGAAGGGAGATCAGCTTGCACTAAACCCCACTCTTTAAAAAGAAGTTGGGCTGTGGGATTTGGGGGTAGCTGCCTGCGCAGAAGTGAGTAGTGCTCTGCTGCTAGCTCAGCAGCCCTGGTTTTGAGGTAAGCATGGCAACAATCTTGAAAATATATGTTTGTGTGATCTCTGAGCAGTATCTCTGTGTGCACACATACATGTGTGTGAAGCAGACAAGGCAGCTCTTCCACTGACCTCTGTCTTGGCTATTTAAGCTTAGTGCAGGTAAACCAGGAGGAGAACACAACAGTACCACTGTGGAGTGCTGGAAATGTCTGCATAAACTGGAGGCCAAAAAAGAATAAATACTGGATTTATATGTATTTACTTTCAGATCTACTAGGAGACTACTTTATGCCGACGAAATAAGTAGACTTTAATTGCTTTCTTATTTTAGAAATGTCTCTTTGAGTAAGGATTACAAACAGGCAGAATTCCCCACCCAGCAGTTTTGCTTCCTTCGTCTTTTGATACTAACCATAGCCTGAGTAATCATTTGAATTCCCTAAATACTTCATGTGTGACACAACTGTCTCATTTCTAGATGACTAATTTTTTTATTTTATTTATTTTTTTTTTGAATAATAACTGTGCTTTACTCTTTGCAGGGATCTATTAGCTAAAGACTATACTGAAACAGTTTATTCAGATGATGGTCAACAAATAACAACGAGTCCTCAGATCAAGGTAATAAAGGTTTCTTTCCCCTGTGTTTGCAGTATTGAGGTTTATATGAGATTTCACGGGTCCCTGAAATTATAGCACAAACCATATGGAAAGAAAAGATTTTAAATCAAGATCCACTGAAACTTTGGATGCCTCAGAAGGGTCAGGGGAAGATATTCTTCATGACTCCAGGCAGTCACTTTTCAGCTCACTGCCTGATGAACGCACTTGCTGAGCTGGGTTTCTCTCTTTTGTCAGGAAAGGGAGTGGAGCTAGGACAGACCAAACATTTCCCTGCTCATTTGACTTTGCTCATTCTGTGCAGCTCGGTGACTTGCTCTTACACCCTAATCTCAGTGAGATCATGGGCTCCGATAAACACAGATTTCCTCCTTGGCTCACCTTATCACCCACGCGTTGCAGGTTACCCCAGGTGGTTTCTCTGAGCCATGACAAATCAGTTATTCAGATACAGACACAGAGGAAGTGGCTGTTCCATTTTAGTTAATTTTTAATTAACTGTCTTCCCACTGGTCTTATCCTTAAAAAAAGCTCTCACCTGAAGCTTTTTGTCTAACGTCACACTGTGGGTTTTAATCCATACCGTTGGAATGCAAAGCTTTTTTCTTTCTTTTTTTTTTTTTTTTTAAAGGGTGTTTCCCTGAATTCTGGCCACAAAAAAATAATTCCGTATGGGCCAAATTCAGCCCAATTCAGAGCACATTAGTTTACATTTCATTTTGAGCACTAAATCTGCTTATTCTTATTTTCATGTTGTGTTCCGTATTAACCAGAGCCCACCTTAATTGGATTTACCAACATCTGGGTCTGTGTTGGAGGATAAAAATAATAGTACTGTGGCAAATATGGAAATGGTCACCAGCTGTTTTCATTTTAAGAATCTCCCCTAATGGGAGATCTTCTCAGATGGCTTTCTGAAATCACTAGGCCAATTCATTGCAGTCAGTGAGATTTGGCCCAATTTGACAAGGATTTTTTTTTTTTTCCTATACAGGATCACTGTTACTATGAAGGTTATATTCAGGATGATGCTGATTCAACAGCAAGCATCAGTACTTGCACAGGTTTAAGGTAAGGTGGGGCTTTGGTTTCCAATGGGCACAGATAGCATGTTCTGTGGGGATATATTTTCTAATGGAAATAGAATCAGGATATAAATAAATGGATTTCATCTTCTGTTCGTTTATGCTCATGAGGAAACTAGTTTACAAAGGCAAGGGGAAGAAGTAAAAAAAAAGGTTACTTTTCTACTTCAGTCTCAGAGTTTACAAATTTGAAGCTAAAGGAATTTCTATGTCAAATTTATGTGACTAATTCCGTATTAGATCAGGTCATAAATCATAGCATAGCAGACTTTCTTTGTGAATAGTTCTTAGCTTCTCCAGTTTACGTGTTAACACTGAATGCTTATTTTAACATTTACTGATTGAAATGACACAAAACTTTAAATTGCTTTCAATATTTCAAAATTTCATCTGAATTGAAAATTAGAACTTATATTTGAATTCCCCAGTGAACTGAAATTCACTTTTCAATCATCCCTCTCAAGCACAAAACCCCCAAACATAAAACTAATTCATTCCTAATCCAGTTTCATTTTGATTGACGGTCTCCTACTCAAGAGACCTCACCTGACCAGCCAGAGCTTCCAATTTACTCAATACCTTTGTTTTTTTCCTTTAAACCATTGCACACTCTGCCTGCATGCTGTCAAACCATGTTCCATGGCATCAATGTGTGCCACGTTCCCTACAAACATGCAAAATGTTGTTAGAGATACTGTTGCTGTCTTGACTTAGTCTTCTAGATTTAAAAGATCACAGTCTAACCTGGAGAAAATTTTCACAGTGGGTATTTTGAGACCCGTGGTCAGAAGTACCTTATTGAACCATTGGGATCTTCAGACAGAGACGAACACGCAGTCTACGAGTATGAGAAACTCAGAGAAGATGAGCCCATAAAAACCTGCGGTGTAGTCAATAGTAGTTGGGATGTTCATTCAAAATACCGCATCGGTGACATCTTCAAATCCAGCAACAGTCCAGAAGTAAGTACATAGGAGAAAAGAAGTCAAGGGATTAGCAGAGCTGCATGAGTGGCGCAAGTCCCACTGCCTGGTGGCACCTCCAGGAGAGATGCAACTGCAAACAGTGGGGCATAACCAAACCTTAAACAACCAGTGCAGAACCTCACAGATCTGAGTTTTTGTAATCACTGTCCAACTGGCGCTAACTGGTGCCCATGTGCATCTTCAAACAGCGAAATACTTTTAAATATCTAACCTACCTTTCACCATTTTAATAATTTTCATCATTTTAGAAAGCCCTATTATAAATTACGTATTGAAATAAATGGCTTAATAACCAATATATAGGTGTGAAGTTGCAAAGACTGCGACTGAAACAAGCCTTAATACTTATCAAAATTTATCCTTTCTTTAGATGAAGGCATATCTGAAAGCAAAAAAGTATCTGGAAGTGTACATTGTCGCAGACAACACTATGGTGAGTATTGAAATAAATTTTTCTCGTTTCATCAGCTAGAGATAAGCTTTCTGAAGCCGGTGCTATTCATTCTGGGCTCCTGCCACAATTACAGTGCTACACTGTGCTGGGACTGAAAGCAGTCCCAGATGCTACCAAATCAGAGATTTATGGCTATTTTAACAGTCACAAAACTGTTCGAGGCAAGGTATGTGTATCTGTGCTGACAGACCCAAGCTCCCTCCTTCCTCAGCATCATGCACAAACCCCACGCGAGCTAGTTCCCTGCATCCAGTGCTGCCTGGCAAGCTCAGGGGTGAACATGGAGAAAAAAATAGACACATTTTCCTCTCCCTATCACGCATACAACTCATTCCCCTATGCTTAGAATCTCTATAACGTGGAGTTATGCCTGCACTTTTTCCCAGCTCTCTCCTCCAGGCTTTGTGATACATTGTCTGATAAAATAAGGAGTAGAAAAGATGAAAACTAGGCCATGTACGGTGTGATTTGCAATGCAATCTGCTCTGGGATATTTCTTCTCCGACAAATCATTTATTTTTCCTTTCCTGTTCCTGACATCATATATTTAATTTTTTAGTATAAGAAGTATAACCAAGATGTTGAAACTGTGAGACAAAGGATATTTGGAATAGTCAATTACATCAACACGGTAAGAGAAAAAACAACACAGTGAAATTGAAATAAATGTGATTTATATATACTTTTTTGACTTTTACAAACTTCATGATTTTTTGTTAATACATCTGGGAAGGAATGAAAAATGTACTGTTTGAAAATTGTAACGTAATTGTCATTTTTATAACAAATCTAACACATCTGTATTATCCTGTTGTTTGCCTTCAGACTGGATTTTTTTTTTATAAACTCCTATTAAAAAAGATTTATACCTTATTTTCTTAGCAGCTGCTAAAGTGAATGATTGAAATCCTTCACAAAGAATGAATTGATTCTTGATTTCTTTCACAACTTAAATCTAAGGATTTTTCAAGTATTTTTAAACCAGTTATAAAAATGGTTTTAAAGTGGGGAAAAATAAGATTTTATGTTTTGTTTGGTCTTTTTGGTTGTTGTTGTTGTAACTTTGAAGTGCAGAAAAGCTTAAATCAGGTTTGGAGTGGACCATATTGCAAGTGACAAAAGGGAACCAATTACCAAGTTGAGTGTGTTTCAAAAGTCTTCATAAAGTACTTTGTTTTTACAGCAAAAATGTTTCTCTGCTGCAGGTTTATAAGGCCATAAATATTTACGTGGCTCTAATTGGCCTAGAAATCTGGACAGATAATGATAAATGCCTCTTGAGTCGTACTGCAGGATTCACTCTGGACAGCTTCTCAAAGTGGCGTAACTCAGATTTATTAAAGAGGAAAAGAAACGACAATGCTCAGCTAATCACGTGTGTATCATTGTTTTCTAACTGCATGTCCAAACGTGTTAAAGGAATTTGTTCTTAAAAAAAAAATTGGTCACCAACCCAGCAGAGACACTGACTGTACAGAACTGGATTTCATCCTTTCCAGCACCCAGCTGCACTAATTCTAGGACAAAAAGATAAATGCAGGCTCTCATTTCTTGCTTTTGTTTTCTTCATGGAGCACAGATTAGCTCCTAGGACGTACTGTTAGGACACGTTATCTAATCCTTCTACCTGAAACATTGCAAAGCCAGGCAATGACTTGTCACATCTCTGTCTTTCCTTTTCCCTGCTCTGGTCACAAAACAGTTGGGCGTCCCGAGGACTGCAGCGCAGTCTGACAGCCTGAAGAGCCACGGCATGAAGCTTAAAGGCTGGGAAATGCAGATTGCCAAACCAAACCAACGCTCACTTCACTATTCTGGCTCACATTCAATGGCCCTGATTCATCCAAGCACTTTGCTGCATTTACAGCACTTCATCAAGCACTTTGCACCCAAACAGGTGCTCAGGTCTCATGAGCTGCAATGTAATCTAGGTAAAAAAAAAAAAAAAAAAAAAAAAAGTGTATTTAATTGTTTACTGACTTGCAGTGATCCTCAGCATGTCCGCAAACATTTTATTAAATCAGGGATGCAAACCAGAGCTGGAAATGAGTTCATGCTTCAAGCCTTCTGCTTGGTTAATGGAGCTGGTGCTGCCTTCAGATGTTCTCCCTTGTAATAACACCTCATCTCACTCTGCCTTTCTTCTTCCTTACAGGGGCTATGACTTTGAGGGGACAACAATTGGATTAGCTTTTCTAAAATCCATATGCAGTGATGTATACTCTGCAGGTATAATTCAGGTCTGATTTATTCTTGTTTAATTTTTGAAAGCTTTTCTATGTTTTCATGCAACCAGCAAAGGATGGTTATGGAAATTGGTGGTGTACAACATTTTCACTTCTCTGTCTGGTTCATATCATTACTAGATCAGGCTGCAGAAACCACAATCACAGCCTTTATCTTAAATGAAGTGCAGAGGTAACAAAAGCACAAACAAAGCATGGTAGTTGGGTTATCTAAATGCCAACATCAAACTCTGACGCCTGTATTTAGAGCTCCAGACTCCTGTAGAGTCAAAGGAGAAAAATAAATGATTTCATGCCTCCAGCTTAAGGTTCCTGTTACAAATGGGGAATTGATTGTGCCTGTCATAGCACTTAGCCACTATATTACCACTGCCTAAATTATTATAATAAACCTCAGCCTAAAGAGGAACATAGACCCCAAACAGACCATCAGAACTGGGAACTCGTCTGCTGTGCCCCGCTTCAGAGTCTGGGCCTGTTGGTAAGAGGAGCAACCCATCACATGAAATTCCAGCTTTCCCATGCCGTAAGGAAATCCCGGGATGATTGTAAATGCAGGATGTTTTTTTCTGGGGGGGGGAGATGCAATTTTTAGCAGCGTGATTTGCAATGCCACGCTGGAAGAGCACGACCAGTACACTGCATCACATGCTTTATGCATTTCCTCTGCCAGCTGCTTTTAAACATCTGCATTTCACTCCAAAGAGTGGGACTTTTCCGTTCCTCCCTCCCACCATAGCACCAGGCTAATGGCGAAGATGGAGCACAGCATCTGCCTTTCCCTTCTGTGCACGCACAAGAGTGTACACAACGGTTACTTGGTGTAATGAGCAGTAATTATAGCACACCCACATAATTACCCTAAGCACAAGACAGCTATCCAAAGAGAGGATTAAGGGTTTGAGATGCTCAGTTCCCCTTAACGCTCAGTTGTTACTTGGCTGCCTAACTCCCTCATGTTTATTTAAAAACTAATTACACCAATTTACTGATGTTGGTTAGCGGTGTGATCTCATTGCTGTTACACAGAATGCAGCATAAACATTGGAATAAATGCATGTACAGACCAATGTTATCACATTACACAGGATAAGGATGTTTTTACTTAGAAAAAAACCTGTTTTTCTTAGCCACATAGCTTCTCTGATGTTCCTATTTGTTCTAAAATGCTCGTAGAAATAATAGGTGGTTCTTGTTCCCACAGGATCACAGCAGGAATGAAATTGCAGTTGGAGCTACCATGGCACACGAGATGGGACACAACCTCGGCATGAGTCACGACACCAAAGCCTGCATATGTAGTGCTAAAGTCTGTATCATGACAGATACCGTCAGGTAGGAGTTTGGAAAAGGGCAAGTGCATTAATGGACAGGGGTAGTAAAGCACGGGCTCTGGATAAGCTTCACAAAATAGAAAAGTCATTAGTTTTGTCCTTTAAGATTATCCCACTCCGATTATACAAAAAGAGAAAAAGGAAGAAACTCCACAAAGTGGTGAGCAATCCCATTTCCAGTTCCAGGCCCTTCTTAGTTATTCCTAGATAGACACCCCCCAAAATAATAATCTGTAGTCCCTTTTGGATGACCTTTGCTTTGCATGCATTGTTGTGGCGTTGGCAGTATGCCATAAATTGCAGCAATCGTTTCTTCCTTAAAACTGTTAGCATGAAATTGTTGTGGTTATCTCAGATGACAGAGTTTCTCCAAGACTTACCAAAAATATCTTTTTGTTATAAACCCTGAAAATGTTTCCTGTAAAAACACACAGAATGTTGTCATCATCAATAAATACTAAATTGGTAGAGGCTTAATTTGATTTTCATCTTAAGCTGAATACCCTGATTTGGACAGCCCTGGGGAAAACTCTTCATGTTTGAAGCATCCAGACACAAGTTGTGTAGACCAGGCTTAAAACTTTGAGATGTAGGATTCTTTATGTGCAATATTTACATTTACCCCATCTTTTCTTCTGATTTGCTTCCCCTATTTTTCTTGCTAGGAGATAGCCATTATATTTATTAATTTTTTACATTTGGAAAAATGGCTGCACCCAGTGGTTGGGGTTATGCTCACTTTGTGTCCTTTTTATTTTGAGGGTTATTGTTTCTCCTTGTCTATGATGATCCTAATACGAGTCCTCCTCCTTTCTCAATATAGCTCCATCATCCCCAAGTTATTCAGCTCTTGCAGCCTCCAAGACTTTGAGAAATACATGCTGAATGACATGCCAAAATGCTTAACTAACATCCCAGATATAAACACCATCGTAGCACCTCCAACCTGCGGAAATGGCTTTGTGGAAAAAGGAGAGGAATGCGACTGTGGTACTGCCGAGGTATCTGCATAACTGGGGATAAAATAATTCCTGGACGAGGCAAACAGTTTTATTGAGGCTGTAGAGCAGTTGGTTTCTGAGGTAGCCAGCTCAAAGCTAGCTGAAATACTTCTATAGGAACGTTGGTCATCAAATTGCTTATTTGTACTACGGACATGCCTACAAAGTGCATGCTGAGTGATGAGAAAGATGATGGCATGGTTTGCGTTGTTGTGTCGACACAGGAACTGAGAATGGGGAAAAACATGCATTCGAAACTGTCTCAGAGGAAATAAGCAAGTTCCCCACTTCTGTCGGCGCATTTGTAATCCCACTTAGCATCCTTTGTGCTCTATCTCATGATGTCTGGCCTGGTTTCTAGAAACAGTGGTTTTCAGAGAAGCAAAGTCAGGTTCGAGGCATCCCTCCTTCCCTCAATAAGCCAGGACAGGGTGGTTCACTCAGAGCGCAGTGAGGAGGGGACCAAGAACACGTTGTGCTGTACCAGAGCTGATTGCCTGTTCTGTCACAGGAGTGCACAAACCCCTGCTGCAACCCCGAGACGTGCAAACTGACGGCGGGATCCAAGTGTGCTCATGGAGAGTGCTGTGAGAATTGCCAAGTAAGACTCCTCTGCACCTCTGGCTCCTGCACCTCCGGTCCTCTTTAACATCTTCATCAATGATTTGGATGAGGGCATTGAGTGCACCCTCAGTAAGTTTGCAGATGACACCAAGCTAGGTGCGTGTGTCGATCTGCTCGAGGGTAGGAAGGCTCTGCAGGAGGATCTGGATAGGCTGCACCGATGGGCTGAGGTCAACTGTATGAAGTTTAACAAGGCCAAGTGCCGGGTCCTGCACCTGGGGCGCAATAACCCCAAGAAGAGCTATAGGCTGGGAGAGGAATGGCTGGAGAGCTGCCAGGCAGAGAAGGACCTGGGAGTGATGGTGGACAGTCGGCTGAATATGAGCCAGCAGTGTGCTCAGGTGGCCAAGAAGGCCAACGGCATCCTGGCTTGTATCAGAAACACTGTGACCAGCAGGGCTAGGGAGGTGATCGTCCCCCTGTACTCGGCTCTGGTGAGGCCGCACCTCGAGTACTGTGTTCAGTTCTGGGCCCCTCGCTACAAGAAGGACATCGAGGTGCTTGAGCGGGTCCAGAGAAGGGCGACGAAGCTGGTGAGGGGCCTGGAGAGCAAGTCCTATGAGGAGCGGCTGAAGGAGCTGGGCTTGTTCAGCCTAGAGAAAAGGAGGCTCAGGGGTGACCTTATCACTCTGTATAAGTATATTAAAGGAGGCTCTAGCGAGATGGGGGTTGGCCTGTTCTCCCATGTGCCTGGTGACAGGACGAGGGGGAATGGGCTAAAGTTGCTCCAGGGGAGTTTTAGGTTAGATGTTAGGAAGAATTTCTTTACTGAAAGGGTTGTTAGACATTGGAACAGGCTGCCCAGGGAGGTGGTTGAGTCACCATCCCTGGAAGTCTTCAAAAGACGTTTAGATGTAGAACTTAGGGATATGGTTTAGTGGGGACTGTTAGTGTTAGGTCAGAGGTTGGACTCGATGATCTTGAGGTCTCTTCCAACCTAGAGATTCTGTGATTCTGTGATTCTGTGATATTTTCTGGGGTAGGGGTTTTCTGCCTTTGAGAAAGCACTGATACATCTCTCAAGAGAATCAATCCTCGTTACTGGTAATTACTGACATAGCATTGTAATTACAGGCACATTTTGCCCATCCCAACGCACACCACAGCAACCAGTACACCCAGTTCACCCTGGAGAAATGAGCCTTTTGATTACCCATTTTCTCCTGGGAAGAAAAGCTGAGGCACAGCCAGGCAAAATGCTGTAAACTGATGTAACCAACTTTACATTAGATAGGGATCTGGCCCAAAATGCAATTTTTACAGTGAGGATGGGATTTGTCTCCCCTAATTTTAGCCCTCTGGTTCAGTGTGACTTTTAAATGGCAAGGAAGAAAATTAAGTGTAGCATTGCTTTCCCCCACTTCAGTATAAAGCAGCAGGAACTGTTTGCCGAGCAGTTAAGGATGAGTGTGACCTGCCCGAGATGTGCACCGGTTATTCTGGGAATTGCCCATCGGATCGATTCCGTATGAATGGACATCCTTGCAACGAGGGAGAAGGCTTTTGTTACATGGGGAACTGCCCCACCCGAGAACAACAGTGCAAAGCTGCTTTTGGACCACGTAAGTACAAGCTGGCATTGAAAAAACGTTGTTAAGGTCAAAAGAGAGAGACATAGGAGGCTTTGCCTGAGAGCAACCCAACAAAGCCCTTTTGGAAATCAGGAAGAGCACAGCTAGATAGCTAAGTTCTTGCTCATATCATGTAGTTTATCAGCTCTATATTTACATCGTAAAAGTTTATCGCCACCCAAACTGAAAGTCACAGCATACAATATAGTATACCTCTAGAAAAATAGGAAGGCATAAGTATATTCCTCTTTTGCACGACATTAAGATGACTTTGATACAGTCAATGTGCACTTGATAAAATGAGGAAGGATCTGTATTTCAAGAGGAGTGGTGGTTTACCAGCTTCCTAGTCCTGACTATGTCCTTTCTCTTAAGCAAAGTCCATCAGGTTTGTACTAGGCAGTGAACACAGAGGGATAGGTGCTGCTGAATGCACACATTACCATTGCAGAATTAATGCTTGAAGTGCCAGAGAGTCATTTAGGCTCATGGGTAACTTTACTGGAAAAGGCCATTTCCTACCCAGCTAAATGAAATGCAGTATTAACAGTGTTTGCAGACAGAGAACCTAAACTAATCCCAGCTCCTCTCCTAAGCTCTTTGCATCATTGCATTTCTTGTTTTCCTCTTTAACAGGGGCTACTGAAGGTGCAGCTTCCTGTTACCGGATGAACGAGAGAGGGGTATATTACGGATACTGCAAGAAAAAAAGTGGTAGTCACGTCCCATGTAAAAGAAAGTAAGCACTGTTACAGAATTTGCTAGAATTTGTGGAGAGAGATCATTCCCATCCGAATTAAGAGACCAAAGCAAAGAGTGCTCTAGTTTAGGTGGCACATAAGTCTACAAGTCCTTGTTTCTTATTCCATTTGAAATATAATTCTAAGAAATCTAATTTCCAAGTAGTACTCCTATCCAGGGAAAGAAGCAAAGTAATTTATCTCAAGATCAGCCTGAGAATGAACAAGAGTATGCATGTGTGCAAGCCTGCTTGTGGGGATGACTGTGTACATGCACGTGTGTGTGTGTGTAGGTAAGGACTGGGAACGGATTTTTGAATAGGTAACCTGAGGTGAACCTCAGAAGTTGAGCCAGACCAGCTAAGTATTCATTTCTGCAAATTCCCGTGGGCTCCCTAATAAACTCAAGAGGTATTAGGGACCTGCCACCTTCTACTAACAAACTGACCCCAAAACCATCACGAAACAAAACCGATACCTGCAGTTATTTCTTTGGAGATCCTATATAGCCACAGCAAATTCAGGCTGTGCAACAGACCAGCTCAGAGGGTTTCGCTGTGCACTGTTCTAGTGGCTTGTGTTCTCCTTCCAGAGATATAATGTGTGGGAAGTTGTTCTGTACTGGAGGGCAGGAGATGCCTACGTATGGGAGCCTGGTGACTTTTGAGTCCTGCAAAGCAAGTTTTCCTAGGGATGGAGAAGGAGATTTGGGGATGATCCTCAATGGAACCAAGTGTGGGGATGGAATGGTTAGTAGAGATTATTTTTTTTTCTTATTTCTTCCCTCTTTCAGTCTTATATCATTAGCATTTTTGCCAGACAAGAAGGACTTTAAACCAGAAAGGCTGAAGTGGATGTGGAGCTTCTGCTGATCAGATTTACCATAACTTCTGCCTTACATCTAGCATGAATCAGCAGCAAACAGGAACTGCTGTCCTTCTGACTTCCTTTTGTTTGACTGCTATTTTATTAATTTCTCACTGACAAAAATATACGTGGCAGAAGAAACATACTTTGTACTGAAAAGTTAAAAGACCATATATAGATTACTGTTTTTAATAATTTCTAGTAATGGATGTGTTAGGCCTCACTGAGTGCTATGTCCAATTTCTTTGCCATATTTTTACCTGGGAGGATTATTAAGGGAAAAAAAGGATTGCAGAGGACAGGAAAACAATGATATCTCTACATCTTTGTCACTCCCTTGCTATAAAGTATCCAAAGGTCAAATGAAAAATTCTGTCAACATATCAAACTCTATAATAAGTCTAAGTGATTTGCATACCTCCTTTCACACTTCATACCTTTACACAATAATGTGCAAGCTCTGTGTTTTCTGAAAGCTATAAATCTCTTCGGTGACATTTGCCTTGTACATCACAGGTATGCAGCAATGGAGAATGCGTCCCTGCTGAAGATGTCTTTAGATCAAGTGACTGCTCTGCTAAGTGTCCAGGACATGCTGTAAGATACAAGCATTTGATGCTATTAACTTAAAAAAAATTAATAATAATAATAATAATGCACGCCAGCTACAGACCTTGTTGATGCTGGTATCTAAGTTACTGGAATAGGAATTTGCAAAAGTCAGAAGCTTCTTATATTTTTATAAAACCAAATATAACCTGATAGGGTACCAATATTTTTAAGGAGCTCACAGGAGACTGACACAGTTTCTGCCTGGCCCCGCCTCTGAACCAGTATCACACCTATACATTCAGGTCTCCTCCCATTTTGTGAGGATAACTGTGCTCACAATTGAACACTGAGAGAGCCTACAAATTTAAAGACCAAAGGTGCTGCTTTGTGCTATAGCTTCCAGTGTAAAAATACTTGCAAAAGACAACCACGCCTGTGCAAAATTGCTACTCCCAGTGCCAAAGTTTAGTCCAAGCAAAATGAGAGGGGGTTTCCAGACCTAACTTTAATAAGCTTAACTGCTGCCCTGTTCCTGAGCCAATGATGTTTTACTACATCAGCTTCACTCCTATTTCCATCCTGAAGTTTTTCCATCCTTATGTTTCCCCAGGTATGCGACCACGAGTTGCAATGCCAGTGTGAGGAAGGATGGGCACCACCAACCTGCGACAGCTCATCAGCTGCTACCAGTAAGTGCTGTATGTCCACACATGGGGTTGACTATCATCAACTGGTTGAAGCAAGACCTGCTTTAACTCCAGTGAAACAGCCCCAGCTTGCCCTGGCTGTCAGACTGTTTCTTTGCAAATACTGTATATCTAGGTCTCTGATTTCTGTGCATCTTTCAGTAATTAAAGCTTGTGTGAACGACTGGAGGAAATTATTTTTTCTTCTAAATAATCTCCTGGGTGTATCTATAACGTTAGTGGTGAGCTTCTTCCTTTTCCGTCCTGAGATAACGAGCACACGCTGTCAAATTTCAGTGGAGCCAAGCTCCCAGAGGCTTTGCTGTGAAGGAGGCAGGCAGGGTCATTGCTTTAGCATTTACATGGTGCTGAACTGTAACTGAGCTACCTCTTGGGGAAAATCCCTTCTGTACAAATACCCAACTGTCTAGGGGAAGAAAAAAAAAAGATTTAAGGAAAGAATTTTAAGCTGTTGATATTATCTTTGTCCTCTCTTCACATTCACTAAAGCACCAGCAGCTCTCAACACTGAGTCTTGGTTGAGGCTGTAGAGTAGTTTTGTTGAAGGAAAATTGTGAAGCCTCACTTGTACGCTATGCCAAAGGGCTGTGCCTATGCTGGTAACACCCTTCAAGAAAGAAAGGAAGAATAACAGTGCAATGATCTTTGAGGATGGATTTGTTTAGCCGAAGGACAGCCCAAGCAATAACCAGAGTCTTCAAAAACAGTAGAAACAAATTCATTTTAATGATTACTTGCGATAGGAGAAAAAGCTATAAGCCTGAGCAACTATTAGGATAAATGGGGTCTAGACCTTGAGGGAAAAAAAAAAAAAATACTTTGCCAATGGGAATCTGCTTAGTAATAACACATCTTTTAAGAAATAACAACTTGTGTCTTCTTGACAGGTTTCGCTATCATTGCTGTTGTGCTGGTCATCCTTACTGTCACAATAATTGCAGCAGCGTTACTTATCTACTTCCGAGTATTCAAGAAGAGGTAAAGTATTTACCCTATTGAGAAAAACAAAAAACAGAAAAGAAAAAAAAAAAAGCAACAACACTAAAACCAAGCAATTCCTCGACTAGTTTTTAAGCTGGGGCTTTCAATGTGGGTGAAGGAAACCTTGGACAACCAAGGAAGTTGGTCAAGGAGCTTTAATGAGCTTCTTCAGTGGTCCTGAATTTGGGAGAGGACTGCAAACTTGAATCTGTAGCACTCAAGATTAATTCCACAGTAATTAAAAATAAGTGGATGGGAGGGAGGAAAGAAAAAACATGACTTTATAACAGACCAGTAGGATTAAGACAGGCATTTGACTTTAGCGGGTGGTTTTTGCTGTTGTTATTTAAAAACAAAACAAAAAAAAAACTTCAGACAGGGTAAGATTTACAGTTATTTGTAAATTCACATAGCAGGCAGACCAGGAGGGGACCTGGAGCTACAAACCAAGTCTTTGTGGATCAAGAACAAGGAGAACACCCAGGCCTGGCCATACCTGCCCAGAAGGTAAGAGCGGGGAGGTGCTGGGTCAGCTACAGCCTCTGCTGTAAACAAGGGGCTGAAATGTGAAAACTCACCAGCTGAAGTGGCCTACATTTGCAGGAGGGTTTCAAAGTGCTTGTTTAGGGCTGAGAGGAGCGTGCTGTGAGTCCCAGCACAGGGAGGAAGCGGGTACAGCGCATGACATTAAGAAAAGCCCCTAACTGACCTGCCTGTGGCAAAGGGTGCATGTGAAGACAAGATGAGGTCTCCATCAGACTTAACCGTTCCCTTTTTTTCAGATGAACGATAAGAAACTTCTCCTTCCTGTACCCCCACCGCAGGAAAACAAACCACAGCTTCGGAGTGTAAGTACTTTGAGGGAACACGTTGGCTTTTATGTTGGTTTTGGGCAGGGCAGCACACAGGAGCTCACGTGGAGACCTGCAGTGACCATCTGATCCCAAGGGCAGGGGAAATCTTTGCACTCCAGATAAAGCCCTGCATGTTTCTCAGGGCCAGGCAGCATAAAGCATCCCAGATCTATTTCTGAAATTAATACATCCGTTTGGATGTATTGGTACATTCCCATGGACCATACAGATGCACACGTACAAGATGTGTATATAGGACCAACATGTTTTGTACTCTCTTCTCTTACAGCCCATCATAAGACCGAAGGGTCCCCCACCTCCCATCCCTTCCACCAAGCCAGCCTCTTCTCACACACAAGAGCTGTTTGTAAGTATAACTCTACAGTTTTTCACATCTTTCATCTCAGCAGCAGATGAATAGCAGACGCCAACTAGTATTTTCAGTTTCTGACTATGATCAAAGGAATCCCCATCTTCGGAGATGCTTTCTTCAACATGTACCTCGAGCACACAACCAGCTTCAGCTTCCTGAGCAGTTTATTTGAGCACAGCTACTTGATAAAGATGAATTTACACATTGAGAATAGCCCAGTGCTCTTCTGAAGCAGTATATCTATATCCCTTGTGTACTTCTATTATTGTATGCAGTCAGATTAACCTGACTCACCCCGAGCTTTTCCACCAGGAAAATGCTGCAGTAAATACCAGATAACTGCAGCAGCAGCTGAGGTCTGAGGAGGTTGTGCAGCTGCTTAAACATGAAAGCATAATGCTTATTAAACTACATTTTTTGTTATAGGCACCGGAGAAAAAGCCTGCTTGCCTCCCAGTTCCCAAAGGCAAACCTCCACCTCCACCTCCACCAAAGGTAACCCGAGTTTAAATGTGAACTGCAAATCTTCTGGGATGTAATTTGGTGAAACTGCATCAGGCACAATCATTTGTTTCATTCTTTTTCATGCAGGCTTTAAAACCTCCAGTTAATCCCCGTGTATGAAGCCTCCGAAGTAGGGCTGATCAAGGTCCCTGAACGTTCAGGGACAGTATGTCCAGTGATTCCTCCACTTTTGGTAAAGGCTTCCTTTTTTTTTTTTTTTTTTAATATATTAAAAAAAGAATGGCTTACTGACAGCTGCTTTGAAATGAGAAGTCTGGTTTTCAAACAGCAAGAAACCCTCTGGTGATGACATCAAGCTGCTGTCTGAAAGGAAACTGAAGCAGAATTGCTACTTGCACTGAGGTGTAAACTAGGAGGACGTTACGAAAGCTGCTTAATGTCCCAACTCCTAGGCCACCCCCACAAGAAGTGGCTGCACTGGGATACCTGTACATGCGCTGCTTTTCTCTGTAGAGACCTGAGAAAGTCAGGGAAAAGCACGGTACGCTGATTATTTTTGTAAATTACAAACTATTTGCTGCATTTCTGGATCTTTGCCAGCCCTCTCTTCAGCAACAGACCAGACCTTCTGCTTCACGTGCAAAGTTGCAACCTCCGGAACAAGAAAAATCCTTCCTGCCCTTCGGAGAAAAGTTTGCGACCCTGAGGCCTGAACAAGCCTTGGAATAATAAGATTACAGAATGGAAACCAACTGATTCTGGAAGGATCCTTTGGGATCAGATACTCTTATTAATCCTTAGATTACCTGTTAAACAGGATTCCTCTGTTCAGTTGGTAGGACTGGAGTTATGCTCAGCAGCAAAGCACGCGGGAATCAAACCACTTGCTGCTTGCAAGCGCTCCCAGAGCTCGGGCTGTGCCAGCTTAAGAAAGAGCTCCAGCTGCCATCATTGCACTTGGACAGAAAAATTTAGAAAAGCGCAGTCAACAAAATCTTTAATCATTAATTTTATTCACCCCTCAGCTCCAGAAATATCTGGATATTTCTCCCTTCCAGGGTATACACACCTTGGTGTTTTCGTTTAATTGCTCTTGCAGCGGGGTGTGTTATTGTAAAGTTGCTAATGAGAACTCGGCTGGGCACAGGGGTTTGTTATTGTGGGACTGCAGCGCAGCATGAGGCTTTGCACACTGGTTCATTACTGAGGGGTTCTTCATTCGTTCTGGCCTGCTGGCATCCACACTGTTGACACTCTTGGCCTGCTGGCATAGATCTGCATGATACTGTTGGCATTGCTGTTAATAATACTGTGAGGGTGCTGGCACTGATGCTATTGTTACCGTTGGCACCGATACCTTTCATGTGGTTGGCATCGATATTTTTAAGTTAAAGCACACAGAAGTGTTTTTCAAGGAATAAAAAAATTTTTACCAGAAAAAAAAAAAAAAAAAGGAACAAAATTGTCCTCAACCCAAAGTACTCAAGATTTTATGGAGATTCCAGTTTGAACTGGATTTGTGTTTGGATCAGGATCAAAATCAGAGCAGTCCTTTGGCTTTCCAAATCAATTACACTGTGCCTGTGCAGTTTCCAGCCTTTGGGCATAGTGGCCAGAGAAGATGGCACAGCTGCCAAACTGCCAAAACAAAATCTGGGGCCTCAGGCCAGCGCTGTGCATGCTTGTACCTGGATTTGGCTCTGCCCAGCACACGTTAGGATTTTAAAATAAGCCTGATCCTCAGAGGGTGCGAGAACTTCTACTCATGTTCACCAACCAGCTCACACCCACTGAAATCCCAACCCATATTATCTTGTTCTGGTGCTGGCCACACAACGGGACAGTCACTTTTTAAAAACAGAGCCTCCTTACACACTGTGATCATTACCTGCAGACCCATCATCTCTGACATGAAATACATATATATATGTACATATATACATATATAGAAATACATATAAAATTCAATTTTTTCTTTGGGGCTAGGTGTGCTTTGACAGTGCCAATCAGTTAAGGTACACCCCGCAAAATACAGTTGTGATGAAATTACCGTCTTCGGTTTGAGGAGCGAGGTAGTTTTGGAAGAGCATGGCTTTCTTCCGCTTTGTATAATTGCTTTGTTATTTTAGTCAAAAATGGATTTTAATGTATCCGTATTTGACTCGGGTATAAAGATTTAGAACTTTTTTTTTTTATGAACTGTAATTAATGTATTTACAATATTTTCTGTATTAAAAGTGTTCTGTCACAAAACTACCTCCAGTTTAATGACAATCATTTGCATCCAATACACTTGACAATAGTGTAAAGTGGAATCATACAAAACAATCACCAAATCCCTAAACCTCCCAGTTTGGACCAAGAAGATAATTCACAAGTATTTCAAACCCCTGCCAGCTTATCCAGTAAAGCTGGATTGACAAAATACTACATCACATTTTCTCTACCTACTTAAGACCTATTTCTCCATGGTTTTCAACCTTTTCCACTTTGTGAGTACTCAAGATCTTTCCGAGGATGTAGAGATTTGAAGCAAGCTGAAATTTAGACATGTGTTTGCGGGAGTACCTTTCCTAAGACCCAACTCCCAAACCATGCAGCTTGGGCTTGCGTTCTCCTGCTGACTGTGCTTGACCTGCATGGGCAAAAACCCCCTTAATATCTGAACACTTTCAATAGGCAGAGACTGCAACCCAACCACAAATGCTGTGCTGCTATCAAACATCGTCAGCAGTAGAAACCTAAGGAAAATGTATTACAGAACACACCTGTAGCTGTTTATGATTTACAGCTTTTCTTGGCCCCAGCATCCGATGGACAAAAGGATGATAGCATCCTCTGCGACGGAGCAGGAGCTGCACGTACAGCCTGCTGTTCTGTTATGCAAACATGACATCTACTGTCAAAAAGTCTCTACTGCAAGAAGAAAGTGAACCCACGAAAACTGAAGACCTCTACAGTGCTCCAGTTGTCCAGAGCCCGCAGTACGTAGTCCTAAAGGCCTACTACGTTATCAGCTGCTTTTCCCTCTGTGCTCTCACACTTTGTGCTGGCTTGCAGTAGTTTGGGTCCAGCTCTCCCCTTATTCCTGGCTAAGGGTCCCCTGCTCAGCACGGTCTGCCACATGCACATGGTGCAGGAGAGCAGCAAGCCGTCTGCTGGCATCATGCAGCAGGATGCAGAAGGGATCTTGAGCATGGTACAGTCACCATCACAGAATTGGCCCTGGCTGAATTTGCATCTTCTCTATAGGAACCACATGCAGCACCTTTGTCTTGCTCCCAGTGCAAAAGCAAAGCCATTTCACACTGTTGTTCCTTTCTTCTGTCTGTATGAGTGAGCACTTCATCTCCCCTTACTCCCAGGGACCCCAAAATGTCTCTCTTCTGATTCTTTCTGACCTCTGAATTTACCATCCTCTCTCATCCCTCTTTTCCCTCCCTCCCTCCATCTCTGAAGGATGTCACTCCCAAGAAAGCAGAAGCCCTTTGCTCTTACACCCCCAAATCGATCTTCATTATTAATAGTTTTGGAGGACTATTGGAAACAGGCAAACACGGGACCATCACAACAGACCAGATTCCTCAGTATTTCCTGTCTGGCTCTCTTAGTTGTCCACTTTGATGTGCAAATGCAACACTGGCCATTAGAGGGCAATGGGACATGGAAAAGAAGTTTCTCTGGCTGGCTATCGGATGACTGCTATCACCTCAAACAAATCAATTCTGAATTTACTACATCCTCTGACCTTGAGCTATGGATTCGGAGACATTAGCAAGGACACCATCAGCCAGGAAGAGAGGGGAGATTGGAGCACGTTCAGATTTTCAGACACGGAGGCACCAGGCATCTAATAAATAGCCTCAACACAGCCCTAACATGACACCACAGACAGTACATGCTTTGAGCTCCACACAGCAAGAGGCAGACCTAATTGATCCTGGGTTTACTGACCAGAAAATAAAATACTGTCCAAACTCAGAATCAAACCTATCAAAACAAATAGCAAATGTCACTTGTAACATGAAATTAAAGATTTTCTCCTCTTTTTACTTCCTTATGCCAGTAGATCTTTCATAGCTTCTGCAGATTGAGTCGACTGATGTGCAAATCAGTCAAAATTCATAGAAATATTGCAGATTTCCTAACTGACAGACCCTGAAAATGCAGACCCTTCTGTCTATCTACTACCCAGCTGGGGTAATGGCTCTCCAGTGCCACAAAGAAAATGTCTCTCCCTACGATGTCACTTGCCACTGACGGGTAATATCAGTGAGTGTGAACCCCAGCCATCAGCTCCTTGGTATTATTTACCAGGGGCTGAGAAGTGCCAAGCTTTAATCGTCAGTTTATCGATAACTTCCCAAGTACAGCATTACTGGATGCCTCTGATCTTCCTCTGGTGCCGGGGAAATGGGAGGCCCTGGGGAAGGAGCAGGGATGTCTGTCGGGCCGCCAGCAATTGCCACAGCCCCCGGATCACTTTAAAGCAATCTTTAGAAAAGTGGCACAGATATTAATGGGCTGTTACTGACATTAGATCCATAAATAATTCTGCATAATGCATGGCCCCGGCCTTTTGAAGGTCTAGGGAAAAAAAAAAGTGGAGGCTGAAATATTGATAGATGTGTCTGCAAGAGCTATTAAAAAAGGGAGAGCAGTTGCCATGGGATTGGTCTATGCTGATACCCAGGACCAAAAGGGTAACGTTGGTCATGTGCCTGCTGAAATAGATCTGAGTACAGAAAACAAAGCAGCAAGATAAATAAAAGGAATAGCACCACTTAATGGGACTTTGGGAACAGCAGTTTCCCCTCTTTGGGAGTCAAAAAACTCATGTGAAAGACAGGAGAATTTTTCCAGCAAGCCCCAGTACAGGTGAGGACAGTCAGGGTGTGCTTACTTTGTGCTGCAAATACAGAAAAGGTCTCTTACATCCGTCCACGCATGTAGAGAGAAAACAACTGTCCTACCATGCACTGAAACTATCTTTTCAAGTCCTTAAGTGCACTAGAGTAATGTATTTTCCATGTCAATTTGCAGCTGTCACAGACATGTCCCCGAATCCCATCAGCGGGTACTTCCCGGTAAAGTGCTGGGACGAATTGCTAAACATGTTTTATAAATTAGCTCCTCCAAAAAAAAAAAAAAAAAAAAAAAAAACCACTACCCAGCCCTCTTCCGTGATAAGGCTTCACAACAGTAGAAGACCCACTGGGATGACTTGAACAGACGAGAAAACTGAAAAAGCACAGCTGCAGTCTCCCAGTCAAGGTGCTGGAACAGATGAATAAGATTCCCCCCCTGCAGAGATGCCGACTGAGCTCCTACATACTTGGCTGCGGGCATCTGAGTGCACAGCTCTCACACTGCATACGATGCCTTGATGCCTTCTTTCTTGTTACACACACCTGAGCACAGCACGAAAATCCCCACTGCCAGCGTGACACCGCTCATGTAGCTTACAACCAGATTTTAAGGCATCGCTCCCTCTGTGACTCTCCAGAGGTGCTGAGGGACTGGCTCCCATGCCAGCGGTCAGATTTCTTGGCACTTAGCAGCTGCAGTCGAGGGCTGGCTTTTCAGAAGAGTTTAGCATCTCCTATACACCCAGTCCATCAAGCTCACTCACCTGGAAACTCAATTCCAGCCTGAAGTTCCCTGTGCTTCAGCTCCACGTGTTCGAAATGAGGACACCACCTCCTCTTTCCTCTCCAAACTCAGGCCCTCACTCGCCCCATGCAGGCTGCAGGAGGGGATGCCCAGCTCCATTTTGGGCTGAACCTGCTGGGACCAGGTATCTAAACTTTCATGCTGTGTCCCCATGCCTTTTGGGATCCCCTCTCCTCTTTTTTTCGAGGTGCTTGCTGTAGCACATGCAAAGGGCTCTGTGTTGATCTTCCCTAGAAAAAGAATGGCTTGCAGTAACCATACTAAGTTGTATATTAAAAATCACTGATGTGACCACCTAACACACAATTTACTGATGCACCACTCTGCCGGGAGAGATCTTTGTTTAAGAATTCCTCTGGTGAAGCCCTGAGAAGGATAACAAATAACTCTGTCTAGGTCCAGGCACACTGCAGCACCCCAGTGCCCAAAAAGGGTGAGGGAGAGGCAGAAAATGCAGTGGGGACCTCAAGCCTGAATCATCCGGCAATCACCAGACCTCCAGAGAGCTGTAATTCACGGTGAATTTTTCATGCTAGAATCAGCTGTGTGCGGCAGGCACACAGCCGAATGGAAAATAAACCTGAAATATTAATGATCCACAGCAGAGTGCAGGCAGGAAGAGATCCATAAACGAGGACAGGGAACCTTAGATAGCCTGCTAGAATTGCTCCTTTCTCGTCTAAAACAAGTGAGTTAAAATAACAGGCTTTGTCCCGCAGGCACTAGGATGGGAGAGTGATGGATTCCAGGTTTTGGGGCGTGCAGCAGCTGCTCTGGGTGCACCACGCAGGGAACCTGGGTTAGCTCAGCCTCACAGGGCGATTTTGGGGCTCAACCACCACGGCTTGGCTGGTGCTGACACCCAGCGTGTCCTCCCAAATTGTGGGGCTGAGCAGCACAAGTCACAAGGCAGACAAAGCATAGAGAAGAGGACGGAATGGGTCTCGTTCTGCGCTTATCAGTACCTCTGGGCAGCTGTCTAGACATTGTAAATCAGCAGACTTCCCCCTCTCACTGATAAGAGCTGACCCCAAACTCTTTGAATTTAACCAGAGTGGAAACGCAAGACCTCTATGTCAGTAACAAGCAAGAGCTAATTCATACCACCATAATGTTTTTTGTTTCCCTTGAATGATTATATTCCTGATTTTACACTTATTCCTTATTCATGTTACCATTTCCTTGCCTTAAAAGCCATCCTGACACAGGGTTAGAGTCATTTACTCAATCACTGCCATCATTAGGAGCGCTGCAATCAGAAGAGTAGTGCCTTCTCATTACTTATTTAAAACGTGCCGAGCAGCATGGATGTTTAAGATATATGCTAAATTATGCCCAACAGAAAGTGGAAGAAAAAGCAGGTATCCACGTGCAAATTCTGAGCATCTGCAGAGTACCCCATGGTGTGGGGGAGGAAAGTAGAAGCTCCAGTATTAAAAAAAAATAAATAAATAATTGGGCCAGCAGTTGCATTTTTACACCAAGAATAAACCTGGTAGAAAGTGTTACTCAAAGTGAAAAAATGGTGGATATATTTGGCCCGCTGAATTTATACACCACGTTTTGTTAGGAAAGAGAGGATA